AAAACCCCGTCTCTAATAAAAATAGAAAAAATTAGCCAGTCAACTAAAAATAGAAACAAAAAGTTAGCTGGCCATGGTGGCTCATGCCTGTAGTCCCACTACTTGAGAGGCTGAGGCAGGAGGATTGCTTCAGCCTAGGAGTTTGAGGTTGCTGTGAGCTAGGCTCCCGCCATGGCACTTTAGTCCAGGCGACGAAACAAGACTCTGTCTCAAAAAAAGGAAAACATAAAAACTTCAGAGACTTGGGGCAAAAAATAAGAACTGCTCACATTCTTACCATCCAGAAATAGCGTCAACATTTCAGTATATTTATCCCCAGTACGTGATCTCTATACACATATATAAATACACACATTTTAAAAACAAAAATCAAATATATACGTTTTATTAACCTGCTTTCTTATATCAGGAACATTTTCCTTTATCAATAAATATTCTTCTAAATTGTTTTAATACTGCATATTAATGAATAAATTTCTAAGATCATAATATCTAAAAAGACAAGGTACCCACCAGTCACTGCTAGTGGGAGTGTAAACTGTTAGTCAATTTCGCAGTATTTATGTCAAATCCCATGATACTGGAATTCTCTAGAGAAAATCTGAATTTATGAAAGGAGGTATATACCGAGATAAGAAACTAATAACACAGACAGTTCTGGAAAGGGGAACAAGATGACAGGAGAATGAGGGATGGAAGGAGGAAGAGCACCTTTTACCACTTACTTTTTTGTACTATTCCCACTAAGGTCTTCCTGCGTCAAATATACTATACTTCTACTTACCAGAATTTTATCAGCTTTGGCTTCACTAATTCCCTTAATATTTATTAGCTCCTTCTTTGGTGCATAGGCAACAGCCTCCACAGTATGGAATCCAGCTTCTTCCAATTTCTTCACATCATTGGCATTTATGCCACATTGCTGTAAGTGAAGAAAACCATGGATAGATTTAAGCTTCAGTTCTCTCATGTGTCTAAAGCAGATAATATGCATCCTATGTATTTCACGGTGTTTGAAAAATTGTAACACAGTCACCCCTTGGTATCCACCAGGGGATTGGTTCCAGGATCCCCAGCAAATAACAAAATCTGCAGATTGTCAAGTACCCTATATAAAATGGCATAGCATTTGCATATAACCTACTTACATCCTCCCATATAGTTTAAGTCATCTCTAGATTACTTATAATACCCAATAAAACGTAAATCCTATGTAAATAGCTTTGTTGTATTTTAAAAATTTGTATTATTTTTTATTGTTGTCTTGTTATTTTTTATTGGTTTTTCACAAATATTTTCAACCTGTAGTTGGTAGAATCCACTAATAATTCGGAAACACGTGGATACAGAGGGCCAATTGTATTATACACAAAAGCTGAGAAGTGTACCCTATATGTGACCTATTTAATAACAAATTATCAACCTTTTCTTTATCAAATCCAGTAGTTTTAAGCAAGCACTATGTCATGTATTAGGAGATTGGGATTAAACCAGCAACTCCAAACCTTTTATGAGTGACTGTAAATGACCTTTGAGACCTTGGATCCTAAAAGGCCACTTTAAACCAATGTTTCCCAATGCTTTCTACAACAAGCACACACTGAAAATGATACTTTTACACTATGCTAGGGTAAACAGATAAGGCTACCCCCACAACTGAGGGAAGCCCTATCTTGGCATACCCATACCCTTTTTGTTGAACAATGTCTGGAAAGCTCTGCTCTCACAACTGATATTAAGAGTGGGGAAAACTGGCCAGGTGTGGCAGCTCAAACCTATCAATCCTAGCACTTTGGAAAGCTGAGATAGAAGGATCACTTTGAGGCCAAGAGTCCAAGACCAGCCCAAGCAACACTTCAAGATCTTGTCTCTACAAAAATTTAAAAAATTAGCCGGGCATGGCAGAATGCACCTGCAGTGCTGGCTACTCAGGAGGCTGAGGCACAAGGCTCACTTGGGCCCAGGAGTTTGAGGTTGCACTGAGCTAGGACTGTGCCACTGCACTCCAGCCTGGGTGACATAGCAAGACACTATCTCCAAAAAAAAATAAAATAAAATAATTACCAGCCTAAGCAAAAGCGAGTGCCCGTTGCTACCAAAAATAGAAAAAAATTAGCTGGGCATGGTGGCGCACACCTGTAGTCCCAGCTACTGGGGAGGCTGAGGCAAGAGAATCCCTTGAGCCCAGGAGTTTGAAGTTGTACTGAGCTATGATGATGCCACTGCACTCTAGCCTAGGTGACAGAGTGAGACTTTGTCTCAGAAAAGTTATGACTGAACTGTCAAAAGTTTATCACAAATTCATTTAAGAAATTCTAGAGTCTTAAACCTTAGTTGGAGACGCAAGGAATATGCAAAAGGAGACATAAGAACCAAGGTTTTCTCCCCTACTTCTTTCAGCCCAAATCAGCTACACTCATGGTGGGACTTCTGAACAATGGGCAAATAATACAAGGCCCCAGTTCTGGTGCTAGACATTCTTGTGCAGAGTCTTGAATTGGAGCTTGGCTTTTATACCTTAACAACTCCAAGCCCTTCTCCCTGCCAAAGACAGCTGTCAGCACAGATTGGGTCAATGAGGGGAAGGTGCTCTCTCTTTCCCCTCTGTATAACTGGTCCAGACCACTGTAATTCCCTGGATAGCATTTTCATACCTGGTGCAAACACAGAGACTGCACTGTGAGATCCTAGGTCTAATTTCTGACAATCCAGGTTTGAGAAAGAAAACTGATAAAGTAGGAGGAGAACTGTTAATAAAAGAGGCCTGGACAGACATTTTTAGCAACAATCTTAAGTGTTTCCACAGGATCCTTGATAACCCTCCTGAAAACTCTAACTTGGGTCTTGACCTTAGTGGTAAACCTATGGTTTATGTAAAAGTTGTGTTATCTCCCTTTAGGCTACTTCTACAACTAGGTAGAAGAATCTAGTACAGCATTATAATTCCAGAATTAGCAACTAAGCACATACCTCTAACCGTGAAATCGGTTGTGGGCCAAAGCTTTCTTCTTCCAGTGAAGTGTCTGCATTTGCTTCAAGCTGCATAGCCATTACTGAAAAACACAGATGGTCATCAGTATGAACACTAGAGAAATAAGGTGGGGGTAAGTACAGAGATGCAAGTTTACTTCTGCAATAAATCTCTGAAGAATTACTTCATAAGCTTTTGCTCTAATCACTGACCTACCCACAGCAGGAAAAAGAACAAACTTGTCACCTGCTTTTCTCTCCATCTATCTAGACAGCTAGCTAGTTGTAGCAGAAAGACTTTAGGAAGAGCCAAGATCATTCATTCTGCTTCTTAAAAATGCACACCTTGGCTGGGCGGGTGGCTCGTGCCTGTAGTCCTAGCACTCTGGGAGGCTGGGGTGGGAGGATCGATTGAGATCAGGAGTTTGAGACCAGCCTGAGCAAGAGCGAGACCCTGTCTCTACTAAAAATAGAAAAATTAGCCGGGTGTGGTGGTGCATGCCTGTAGTCCCAGCTACTCCAGAGGCTGAGGCAGGAGTCAGGCAGTAGGATTACTTGAGCCCAAGAGTTTGAGGTTGCTGTGAGCTACGTTGATGCCATGGCACTCTAGCCCAGGCGACAGAGTGAGACTCCATCGCCAGGAAAAAAAAAAAAAAAAGCAAAAAGCACACCTTAACTAAATTATGTCTCCCTGTTTTTCTTTATATTTCTCAAGGTAGGGGCCAAGTCTTGTTTACTTTTATATACCCCATTATACATTATAAATGTTACGTGTTTGCAGAAGGACAAATAGGGCATTATCTTACTCATATGTAGAATCTAAAAAGTTGATTTCACAGCAGGGAGTAGAATAGCGGTTACAAGACCCTGGGGAGAACAGCTGGAAGAGGGAAAGGTTGGTCAACAGGTATAATGTTACAGATAGACAGGAGGAATAAGTTCTGGTGTTTTATTGCACAACAGGGTGACTACAGTCAACAACTGGCACAAACCAATAGATTGGCTTAGGTACAGATCTCTTAGGTGGAAGATTTAGCATACTGTGAATCGATGACAATCCCATGCATCAGTATCATTTGAATGCAATTTAAATTTAAATATCTCCCTTCATAACTTATGAAAAAGAGGGCGCTGCAGAGTAATGGGGTAAGGATTTTTTTTTTCAATAAATAGTGCTGGGTTGACTGGATAGCCTTATAGAATAAAATGTACTTGATCCCTCTGTCACACCACAGAAAAAAACAATTTCCAATTTAGATTATAGATCTAAATGTAAGCAGTAAAACAAAGTTTTCAAAATATAGAATATTTTCATGACCTTAGCATAGAGAAAGAGTTCTTGAACTGGATACATAACGCAGTAACTGAAAGGGATTTCATTCAGTACTTCCAGCCATCAAAAGACACCACGATGAGCATGAAAAGTCAACCCACAGTAGAGGAGAAAAAATTTACCACATATATAGCTGAGGGCTTATAACCAGAATATAAATATAAGGAATTCCTTCAAATCAGAATAAGAAAAAGACAATCCAAGGCCAGGCACGGTGGCTCACGCCTGTAATCCTAGAACTCTGGGAGGCCGAGGCGGGAGGATCGCTTGAGGTCAGGAGTCTGAGGTTGCTGTGAGCTATGACGACGCCATGACACTCTAGCCCGGGCAACAGAGCAAGACTCTGTCTCAAAAATGAAAATAAACCAAATCACATTTCAGATCATTCCCTAGGCATCACCTGAATGGTTTTCCGCATTAGAAGATGCAAATATAGTTTTGGCAACGGAGGTTGATACCTTATAAGCAAAATATGGTGTAACGGAAAGAAGACTGACCAGGAATCCGGGAACCCCGGTTCTGACGTTAAAATAGCTGTGACTGCACCTCTGTTTTTTGGACTTCCTCGCCCAAGTCCATAAAATGGGTGTTGGACATGAATGTCTATAAGGTTTCCCCCTCTAGCTCTAAAGACTGGGGTCTGCTTCCGTTTTCCACAACGAGCTGTGACGGTCGGTTGGGCTCGGGCATGCCCTGCTCCGCCCCACCGTATCCGGGTTTCTCACTGGGCGCAGAGGCCCCAAAAGCCTCCTGCGGGAGCACGGGCCGGGGCCCGACCCCGCTAACGCGGATGAGCCGCGGCTATGGGAAGGGGCCCGCCTGCGCCTCTCTCACTCACCTCGGCTGGCAGCACGGCTCACTCGTGGGGGCCTAGCGCTCCGACTTCAGTCCGCTGGCCTGGCACTCGCCAGACTCCGCGCGGACCCCAGTCCCCCCGGCTTGCGCCCACTTCTCTACTCCCTTGTCTCGGCTTTCTTCACACAAAGAGGCGAGTTTCAGCTGCCAAATAAGCGCCTCGGACAGCTTCTCGGCTCTCCTCAGGACGCCGGCTCCGGCCGCAACGCGCAGCCCGTCCGGCGGCTTTCGGAAATCCCGCCAAAGCTTCTCGGGCAGGGCCACGCCGCGTCAACGTAACGTCTCCCCGCCCTTCTGGGATCCGCCCTGTAGCCGCTTCCGCCACGATCGCGAGCCCAAGGATGGGCTCAGGGAGCTTGAACCTGCAGGATATTATGGATCGCCCTCTTCCCTTTTCCCCTAAAGACTAATTCAAACTGGAAGTTGCCGCCTTCTTTTCCAGATAAAGGACTACAACTCCCACGAGGCAACGCAAGATCTAGGACTACATCTCCCAGTGTGCCCGGCGGACGCCACGTCTTCCGACCTGCCGCCCCTCTGGGAAATAGCCCAGTTTTAAGATCTCTGGTTAGTTTGTTTCTGCAGTGTATGTACATGGGTCTCTCTGAGCCCTCTGACTCAAATTCCGGGAGCCAGGTGCTTTCCAGGCCCCCTGGAGGTGGAGGAGCTGAGGAAGCTCCATTTAGAACTGGAAATGGAGCTAGTGGAGAGGAGAAAGAAATGGCTGAAATATTAGTCTGTGGTGCTTTACTGGAGACTTGCACAACCCCAGAGAAAGGAGGCATTGAGTTTGATAAGGTAAACCTTATCGCGGTTTACCATAAAGTTTGACTTATGATTCTGGTTTTAAAGCCTGAGTAGGATTTCCCGGGCAAAGAAGTGGAAGACGTAAGCAGACAGCATTACGGGCATAGAAACGAACAATGTGTTTGAGGAGTAGTATTCTCTGATATCAGAGAGAGGAAAAGTACCGTAACGGGTGCTGAGACTGGAAAGCTAACGTTTGGTTCAGGCTATGAAGAGGCTTAAGATCATGTAAGGAGCTTTGGTGTTTATTCTTAAGGTAATGGGGAAAATCATTGAAAGATTTTTTTTTTTTTTTTTTGAGACAGAGTCTCAACTGTGTTTTCCAGACTAGAGTGCTGTGGCGTCATCCTAGCTCACAGCAACCTCAAACTCCTGGGCTCAAGCGATCCTCCTGCCTTAGCCTCCCGAGTAGCTGGGACTCCAGGCATGCGCCACCATGCCCGGCTAATTTTTTTCTATATATTTTTAGTTGTCCAATTAATTTCTTTCTAATTTTAGTAGAGACGGGGTCTCGCTCTTGCTCAGGCTCCTTTCGAAGTCCTGAGCTCGAACAATCCGCCCGCCTCGGCTTCCCAGAGAGCTAGGATTACAGGCGTGAGCCACCGCGCCGGGCCCATTGAGAGATTTTAAAAAGACGACTCCTATGGTTAGATTTATTTTGCCACTACTACTACCACTTTATATTTATGGAGTTCTTTAAAGTTGGAAACGTTTTTATACAACCCTCACACCATTGCCTTGTGGCATTGAAGGATAGATTTTAGGAGAGTGAGAGTGAAGACAGCAAAAACCTTTTAGGAAATTTTGCAATATTTTAGGCAAGAGATGAATGCTTGAATTAGAGCAATGACAGAACTGACTCAGGAAACTTTCTGAATGTAGAAACAACCTGTTAGGGAAACAACCTGTTAGGGATGTTCCTACCGAGGTCTAGGAAAGAATTAAGATAGATTTTGAAATAAGGGTTTATTTTACTTTCCGAGGGAGGAAAGGGCACAACATGAAAGGAAGAAGGAATGCTGGCCCAAGGATGAGTGTCTTTTTATGAATGGGCTTTTTATTGCAGTTAGAAAGAGCAGAGCAGCTGTTATGCAAAATGACAACGGAAGGCAGTTGTTTTCTCTTAGGCTGGTTTTATCTGACTTTTCAGAATGTGGTCTAGCAGATGCTGAGGGACTACAGTGCCCTTTTTTTTTTTTTCCTGAGACAGAGTCTCCTGTTGCCCAGGCTAGAGTGAGTGCTGTGGCGTTAGCCTAGCTCACAGCAACCTCAAACTCCTGGGCTCAAGCGATCCTCCTGCCTCAGCCTCCCGAGTAGCTGGAACTACATTTTTTCTATATATTTTTAGTTGTTCAATTAATTTCTTTCTAATTTTTAGTAGAGACGGGGTCTCGCTCTTGCTCAGGCTGGTTTCGAACTCCTGAGCTCAAGCAATCCTCCCGCCTTGGCCTGCCAGAGTGCTAAGATTACAAGTGTGAGCCACCGCGCCCGGCTGCTTAGTACTTTTCCAGTTCTGCAAAACAACTTCTTAAAAAAACAAGCCACAGGTGGTCGAGCAAGAAGCAAGCAATGGGGGCCAGCGTACTGTTGCGTGCAGTGATGGTTTTATGTTAGATGATTTACTAGCAATACTATCCCTTCACTAAGAGTGATTATACCCCATAATATTCTGAAATTAAAAAATAATAAAGATAAAATTCAAAAATAAATAAAAATTAAAAAAGGATTATTATAGATAGTACCTGGGATAATAGTGAACTGACTTCCATGTCAAAGCTATCGTCTTTTGGCCAGGTGCAGGGGTTCACGCCTGTAATCCTAGCACTCTGGGAGGCCGACATGGGAGGATTGCTTGAGCTCAGGAGTTCAAGACCAGCCTGAGTAAGAGGGAGATCCAGTCTCTACTAAAAATAGATAAATTAGCCAGATGTGGTGGCATGCGCCTGTGGTCTCAGCTACTCAGGAGGCTGAGACAGGAGGATTACTTGAGCCCAGGAGTTTGAGGTTGCAGTGAGCTACAATGATGCCATTGCACTCTACCTAGGGCAACAGAGTAAGACTCTGTCCCCCCCGCCAAAAAAAAAAG